AAGCCTCGGGGCGCCGTGAGGCATATCCGGGGCCGGATAGGAGACGGCGGGGGTTTGTGCTACCGTTTTTATTTGACAGGGTCTATTGGAAGCCTTTTTGGGCAGACTAGGCTGTACGGGCCGGGGGGACTGAACGGGGATGTGGCGTCAACGCCTGCGGTAGCGCGACCGGGTGCTGCGCGACCATGCCATGCCACCTGGCTGGCTGCACAAGACATGCTGCACGCCGCATGGCGTGCGGGGGCACTGTTGTTCGCGTGGGTTTACCGTACGCCGGCCGTGATTGGCCCATTCAATGTTTATACTCTGTATGCGCACTTGGTGCAGGGAGCGCTACCTGGTGGGCCTTGGACAGGACGCCTGGCCCCTGGTGCATCTCGGAACAGGGGCCAGACTCAGCCTGTCAAAGAAGGGGGACGTGATGCAATTGAATTGACAATGGCACAGCACTATGATATAAGCACCACACGCTCGCGCGCTCCCAGACACACAGGCAACAAGCGCACACTCAAAACCTACAGCTCAACGCACCGCCAATGACGTGCCTGGGAAAGAGTTGCACGCGCTGACGCTAAATTCCGAACCCTAAGCCGGGACCCCCTGTCCGAGGGTCGCATCCCACGCTTGGGCCCCCCCTTCGCCCAACGACACTTCCCTTTTTCACCTCTCGCTCCTTCTTGTTCATCGTCCCTCAAATTGCTGTTCTTCCATTCGTTTATATTATCAGCTGAAGAAGATCGCCAGACCCCTCTGATCCCCCGCTTCTTTCTCTCTCTGAGCCATTTTTCCGGTCCGTCACTCCTTTCGGGCCGCGTCTTTCCTTTGGCCACTATTTCCAATTCTACGACATCTGTTTGAACGACGCAGCGAATTTCCGCTATATCTAAGTCCCGGTGACCTATCATCTCATCTCACGATTCACGAAATTCTGCGCCATGGCTGATGTCATGCCCCCTCCTGTACGGCCGTCGAGGAGTCTGGTGCAAGAAGATATCAAGCCGCGCATGCGCTCGGCAGACTCGCACGGCTCCCACATGTCCCGACGGCCGCCGCGAAAGAGCACATTGACACAGCAACAGAGGAATCAGAAGCGACAGCGGGCAACACAGGATCAGCTGGTCACGCTGGAGATGGAGTTTGAGAAGAACCCTACACCTACAGCGATTGTGAGGGAGCGCATCGCGCAGGAGATCAATATGACTGAGCGGTCGGTTCAGATCTGGTTCCAGAACAGGTGAGTTTGGCGGCTTTTGCCGAATCAGGCTGAGGCTGACCCTGCCTAAGGCGGGCAAAAATCAAGAACTTGGCCAAGAGGAGCATTGAGAGCGGTGAGGATTGTGACAATATCCCCGAGTCAATGCGCCAGTATCTTGCCAACCAAGCATACGGTCCTGGCAAAGGATTGGGTGCCGGGCTCTTGGGTCGCTCGGCTGCCGGCTACGGTCCACTGGGTATGTTGAACCCCGAGCTGGCCGGTGGCAAGGTGGTCATTCAGCATTTTTCATGCCGCTGTTTGTCCATTGGAAGCTGGCGTCGCGTCGGCCAGAGTACGATGGATCTGGTCATCTTCTACTCTCCCGACAAGGCCTGCATCACCTACTACATCAACAACGAGAACCACGGCTACAAGATTGAATTCATGTTTGCGTGGATCAAAAACATCTCGCTCGAACAGGGCGAGGTGATGACGGCGGCCGAGGGCGCATCGCAGCGTATGGGAGAGTTGATAATTGAGCTCACGCGTCCACCCAAGTTCTACATGGATAACTCCGGAACCGGCGGCTTCTACGAGTGCGGGGACTTTACCGAGGACCAGCAGGCTAGCCACGTCCTGGTGCACCATCTCAGCGGTCCGTCGAATGTGCTGAGCGGTCAACTGGCGAAGCTTGTGTCGTTGGAATCATACCAGAACCGCCACGTTCTGGAGCCAGCTCCTGTGCCGTTCTCTGAAACGCCCATGAGACCAGCCAGCCAGCCTAATCATATGGTCAACCCGAATTTGTTCCCGGAGCCTGCGGAAATGGTCATGCAGCCGCCGCCCCGGGGTCACAAACGCCAGCGCAGTTTATCTGTCCCTGCGGCCATCGACCTCTCGCTGATTCGAAATCCGATGCCAACCTTCCTCATTCATCCCGAGCATCCAGAGTCCCAACAGATGCAACCGGTGCAGCCAGTGCAGTCTGTCATGCCAGATCCGACCATCTTTGCGCCGATCCCGCAACACGGCGCTTTTGGCCTCAGCATCGACACGTCTGTCGGCTACAACTTTTCTCACCTCTACAACGGGCCTATATCGGCCACGACGGTCAATTCTCCCAGCGAGTTTGGCACTCCGGCATTTATGACCTCGGTGCCCATGGATGAGGCCTTGTCTGCCAATTTCCATACACCGTTGCCGCATGATCCATATCTCCATGTCGATCCATCGGTTATGCTCGGCACAAGTGCAACACCGATATCCGTTACCAGCCACGGCCCCATGATCGCCGACTATTCGCCCCCGCTTGGAGCCAGCCATCAAACCCCAGATCTCGATACACCCGACCGATCTCACTTTGGCGATGAGAGCATCTACCTGTGAGAGTCTCTCAATAAGCAGATGACCCTGCCAATCCACAGTCCGCTCTCGGAACGGGCAACTTACCACTCTCCGGTTGCCGCTGGTCCTTTTGACTTTCAATCTCCGCCATCAAACACTTCGCAACCGGTAATGATGGATCACTTGGATCTCAGCGCAACGGCACCGGTCACGACGTCGTCACAACCCAACGGTGAAGCGTACGACCTCACAGCCGGCGCAGACGGCACACCATATAGTTCAGCACCGAGACAAAACGTTTTTGACGCGCTCGATTGGGATCAAAGAGCGTAATGTGAAGACAACACACTATACGAACGGGACACATGCATGATGAAATCCGGCAGTGACGGCGTATTCTTACTCTTTCGAACTGTAATCTTTGCCTGGGGGGAAGTGATGATTTTTTTTTGTTGGATTTTTGGTGAGGGGTTTGTGGAGGATTATAGTGTTAGGATACCCAGATATTTGAAGTGAATTTTGATCATTTACAGAGATCCTGAGGAGGGGGAACAGTGATGGGGGAGAAAGTGACCTTTGCTTCGTCTAGGCCTGGACTGTGCTATACATGGCAATTGTGTTTGCTGCTCTCTTGTGCGATCTGAGCCGTACGAAACTAGGACATGCTGGCCGGGTCAAAGGTGATTAGGTCATCTTCCTCGTATGGCCATTACCGTGCTCTCCACATGATAGTGGTATGGGTTATTCAATGCCTTGACATGTGCATTCAAAATCATACCGGAATATCTGGTCCTCCGGTATACCCACTCTTGACTACGAGAGGGCGACGAAGTCCTTCCTAGCGTCTGTTTCTATAATCGCCAGTCAAACGGGCGGATATGGGAGGTTCGTAATCTGTTCTTGGTGGTCTTTTCTTCTTTCTTGCCCTTGAGACACAAAACAGAGATGGCGATTTGGGCGTCATCTTCTTCACGCCTCTCCAGGCCATCCAGCCTGTTGATCACGTCAGCGCTCCCAGCCCTTGGCATTTGTGTCACGGGGGTAATGCTGAGTTGGTGAAAAAGAGCTGAGATTTGGCGATTTGACATCTTGTAGCGACCTCGCCCATTCTACCAGAAACCGCAGGTCGTTTGGCGCCATTTCTTCGCGAGCGGTCTGAGTAGTTTTCGATCAGCGGCCGAAGGTAGCCTGCGGCTTCTACGTATTGTTAACAGGAGCTGCCTCTCGCTTTTTCCATACCCACTGCCATGCCTGACTTGGAGATGCGAAATCCCAGAAGGTCCGACTGTATCCCATCAACACTTCTTGGGTTCAGTAGTAGACCGTATTCCACGGCCCTCATGAGAAACACCAAGGACGGATCGTCCTTGCAACGCTCTCACAGTACTTTGCCTTTGTATTTTTAACCCTGCTGTTATTCCAGAGTTTAACGCAAGCCTCCGCCAGTCCATCCTTATCTAAACGATGAAATGCAGGACATCGTTGATTAGTCCGCTGAGTCGGCCGCATCGACTAAATCGCAACTAGTGATTCCTCTCGAGAATGCATCCGCCTCAGAAACTCCGAAGCATTGTCGGACGCAGGTAAGAGCTTGGCCTCGGTGGTAGATTTTGCGACCGTGCTGCTCGCTATTGCATAGGCCCGTCGAGGATACGAATTCTTCGTGGGCAATGGGATATTATCTATAGATTTTGAGACTATGCTTTGCAGTTTCCATTGCACAGCCACAGATCTCTGTCGATGAGTATCAGGCTTCGGCTTGGAATCGGTGAGGATATTTAACCACCGTGAGTCAATCTTTGGTTCATTTTCATGCTGAGTGTGTCCTTGTGCAATCTCGTCGGACGCAGGTGCAGCAGCTTTGCTTGTCTGTAACCTGGTGCGAAAAGTTGATGTATGACTCCGGAGGCAATTTGTGCTATCTCGATGGCCTGAATGATTGTATCGTAAGCATTGCTCTGTCTGGTATTCAGCAACAGAATTTGCTACTCCGACTGCTCAATCCAGTCCTAAGCCCTCTCGCGGCCGTAAGAGGGTTGGCATTGGCATCTGCCCAGGAAAGAAGGTAACCAGACAGTATCAAATCGCCCAGCTTTTTTCCACACTACATCAGCGCTACAGTGCGGGTTTACGAATCCCGGAGGGGTTCCAGTCACCGGCAACTCATGGATGCGAGATTAAAATGTACTCTTGAACTCTTTCATGATCCATCATATCGCTAAAAACCAGGGCTGAGATGAAGAATTTCCGCAGAGTTGAAAACGGACTCGCCTCGGCGAAGCAGTCGGCACATTGGCCGTCACCTTAGAGTAAGCGCAGTGAAACGGGCTTCTGGAAAGAGCGGTGGTAAATTTTTCAATCAACTCCAGTCTCGATTCCTGGGGAGAGGAATGGCAAAAATAAAAAAAAAGATGAGGTTTGAGAGCATTGGAGCCATGATTATGGCTTTTCAATTAGGAATAGCCGAAGGCGGGGCTCGAACCCGCGACCTTGAGGTTACTGTTCTAAGGATAGAACATACTCCTAGTGAACTAAGAGCCACACGCTCTACCGATTGAGCTACCCCGGCGGCCTGTGCTACCTCACGGAGAACTAGTCAGTAATTACAATATATATAGATAAACTTTCAGCTCGTGCCATTCTTTTTTGAAAAAAGTTTGAAGCAAGTGCAATAACGGTAAGACAGACGCTTTGTAGCGCAACTTCAAGCAAGCGATGTTATCATCTGCTTGAAGCAGGGAGATATTAGCCCGGAAGGGAGATATCTTCGGCAAATGTGACGTCAATGGTGTGGATCGAAACTTACGCACGAGCCATTCTTCACGCATTTTGGCGCACCGCCAATTTCCGAGTGACTTCTCCAAACTCTCATAGCGTTGGTTGATTCGTTCAAGGTTTTTGTGTTTATTCTAGGGGGAAGTCCTTCGATGTAAAGCACCCGACAAGCGGAGTAGCATTTAGTGACTGCTGAGAGGCCGATAAGCTCCTGTTGCCATTGCTGCTCCTACTCTTCCTTGTGGAGACCGCAGGACAACCAGCCTCATCCGACTTTTTTTAGGTGGTGTTGGCATGCGTATATGATTGTGCGCTCGCCCGGACGTTTTAATGGGTTTGATGCGCTATCTCTACGGGATTTCTACTGGGCATATGTATTAAATGTTCACACAATTCAAAGTGTCTTATAGACAAGCATGACCAATCCTTCGAGACTTACTGTGGCTACAACTTCAGCAATCTGGTTTGCGTCTTGATAATCGGAGGAACACTCACTGAGTGGCCATCACCTCTGTCCCATCCAGCTTTGTTGGTTGGGATGCATTCAAGACGCCAGCGCTAACCCTTGACGGGGTCAAACAACATGACGCTCTGTCGATCTTGAGGGCTTTCGGAAAGTCTGCTCAGCATAACAGTTCACGACAACCAAGCAACACATTTCGACCTGAGGGATAACTGGCACTTCCAGATGCGCGCCCCCGGGTACCGCAACCAGTCCCATCCAACAAAGCTGGATGGGACGCATATAGCCTTGACGAATTTCTAGTCCCTGACGCTTGACGGGACTCCATAACATAGCGCTCTGTCGGCTCTGTGGGTTTTTCAAGAGATAACAAGGTTAGCAGAGACTTCAGGATAACCGGAACAACTATAATGTTACCAAAGGGATAACAGACACTTCCAGTTGTGTACCTACGGGGTATTGCAACCTGTACCATCCAGCTATGCTGCGTTGGGATACGATCAGACGACACCCATAATCTGCAGATCTCTGATATCGTAGGACCTCCCCGCGAGAGGTATTTGAAACACATCAAGGAGACCTGTCGGCACAGACAAATGGAGTACCCACCCAGTATCCTTTTCCTGGGTGGCCGACACCTCCTGTAATCCCTAGTCTCGGGATCAGCTGTCCCATCCAGCATGATGCTGTGTTAGGATGCTATCGGACGACATGCCAACCCCTATCTTGTAGGATTACAAATCGCTTACAAGTCATATAAGGTGACACGGACATTTCGTCACGACCAAGAGAGAGCTCACCACGAGGAGTATGGGGGAAAACACGGAAGCGAGAAGAACCGACAAATTAAGTACCCACCTAGTAGTCTGCCTGGGTGGCCGAAACTTCCTGATGTCCTTACCCAGGGACACCAGTCCCACCCAGTTTCTACACTGCATTGGGATGCACCCGCACCTTGATCGTTTTACCCTCCGTCATGTGACCTATCCGAGGGAATCGACGGGGCCCTTGTCCCGACCACCAGGAATTTTCCCTCTGCGAAATCGCTAACCCATCGCCAGTGGCAGGGAACGCTGGGACTCGCGGGCTCTTCGTCGATGACAAGACTGTTGGTGGCGCAGTTCAAGACGATGTTGCCTTGGAGGGATTTTTCGCCTTCTCATCCAATGTAATTTGATGCTAGGATGCAGTGTGGAATCAGGGGGTTTCGCGCATTGGACGAGAGGTTGTCGTTCCACGATGATTACATTGATTGAATCAGGTCCCGTGTTGAATGGGATGAATTGATCGTGTTGGCTGGGGGACACTTGCCTTTTCTTTGCTGAGAAGCAGTAGATGAGCTATAGCTCATCTACTGCCGCATCAATTTGTGGGAGATTATCCCATGACCAGGACAACCTTTCGCCCATTCATTGACCTGTCGAGGCCAGCAACCACCCGACCACTGGGGTGACGGTCATCCATGCCTTCTGATTCCAAGCCCCGGTGCACCCGCATGTCCATATGCTGCCTTGACTATCAATATAACCTCTCTTCCTAAGGCGTTGTTCCTGTACAACAGCCGATGGTTTACTTTGGGACTTCCTGATGGACGGTCGAATATTGCTACACATCCAGCCATCTGACGTGTCTTAGTCCTCTGATAAAAAGTGCCGATACCATGACCTTCAAACAAAGCCGTCGAACTGCCTAGCTCGGGTGGATGCTGCTTCCACCGACGGTTTGAGTTTCTGGTATCCCAGGACGAAGTCATTGCATCACTTTTTCACCGCCCTCGAGGTCTCGCCGACAGTAATGGGAGGAAAATCGTCAGACACTTCTGGCTTGACGGTCGCGATGATGTAGTCGAACAGGAATATCCCATCGAGGTTGCAATTTAGGGTCGATGCGTTCCATGATGATTGCGAAGGCATGCTTCGCCAGGCTTATTTTACATATCGAATGCCTCATCTGATTTTAAAGCGGCTAAGCCAGCCATCGCTGAATTCAGGCTCCGAATTAGCGGAACAATGTGGCCATAGATACCCTGCAGTCGCCTTAAGAACTTCTCCCGCTATAGAGATACTGTATTGACCTGACCTGATATTGGAGGCTCAAGATCGCCTATCACTAGCACGCTTTCATTTCCGATAACCTCGAAAATTCCTTCGGGTTCTATCCATACCTCGATTCTAACCTGAGAAGGCAGACTCCACTGGGTTGTATATCTTTCAGCAGAGATGGTGAAAGAACTAGAACTGCTCAAGCCAGCCGGGTTCTAAATGCAATCTCGTCCTCGCACATCCCATTTCCCCTCATCATAACAATTGACTATGTCGAATGAGTCTCCTTGGGTCTTCAGGGATGTGGTCTGATGTCGTTGAAGCTTCCCATCGGGATTTTGTCATACAGCAAGAACTGTGTTTCCGGGATTATGTCCCGAAGACGAAGGAGTATCCGTGGGAAGAAATTCCCACACCACTTCTCACAGATACATAGATAATGGGAATGTACTCGTTGCAAAGATTTTCCGGGCTCTCAGATGCCGGTGCAGGGTATGCATCGGTCTTTCAACCATATTGTTATAGGCGGATTGAACAGATACCGGGATATATGGTGAAGGGCCGCTCGTCATCGAGAAATAATGGCACTGCCGAGAGACGGACAGATCATGGAACCAGGCTATTGGCAAAAGGGAGCAACCAAAATACGTAGCATGAGCTTTGGTCGCGACGATGGTGATTCTATGCCTTGCGGATGACAAAGATAGATTGTGGTCGATAATCACATCCTGTGCTGCAGGCAGAGGAGAGAAGTGTCGAGTTCAGGGGCTCCGAGTACCCCCACCCCTGAACCGTTAACGGTATAGCGGCCCGCCAAGGCATACTGCCAAGACACACTGAGTCACAGATAAAATTACTAGTACTCGAGGAGTGTTGCTCCGCCCACGAGGCATCAAAAAATCATGAATCAAACGCAACAACGCAGCTATCCCCCAACAAACCAATAGATGTGAATAATTAACCAGTCTCCCCAGAACCAAACATTACCCCATATCCCTACGCACCCACTTAAATCTGCACCGTTCCACTCCCCATCAAACTAATCTTTTCCTTCACCGTCTTTCCCCCTTGTCCAAGCACAACAACCTCCACAACCTCCACCTGAGGATCATAATTGAATGTCCCATTCACACTCAGTTTCCCCCCCTCAAATGTAAACCCAACCCTCGTCACCGGCCCATCAACCGAAACCCCATCATCAAGCACCAACCCCCCCCTCGCCTCCCCGTTTTCATCTGGCGCAACCACCAACCTAAAATCCACTTCCCTCAACTCAGCCGTGGTATTTGCTCCCGTGACCCTCTGCGGCACTACAAACCCTCCCCTATAAAACAACGGAATCTCATCAAACCCCACGCCCGTCAGGGTGTGCCACCCCCCCTTCCCGACTTGTTCCCCCGTCCAAAAATCAAACCACACCCCCCGGGGAAAGTACACCTCCACCTCCGTCCCATTCTCCTCCGTCACAGGAGCGACCATAACCGCCTCTCCAAAAAGATACTGATACTCCAACCCCCAAGCTTCCCTATCACTCGGGAACGCAAACCACAGCGGCATGAGTGCCGGTTTCCCCTCACGACTCTGCCCCTCCATCGCCGAGTAAAGATAATCCAACAACTGATACCTAACGCCAATCGCTTTTTTCGCAGCAGACGCAACGATCTCCCAGCGATAGAACTCCTGCGGGATGGAGGCGAATTCGTTATGGTTACGGTAGAAGGGCGAAAACGCGCCTAGCATCGCCCAGCGCGCGCAGAGAGTTGGGTTCGTGTTTCCCGCGAAGCCGCAGACGTCGGATCCCGTCATGGGAATTTGGTAGAGGGATGTGAATTGTAAAAGGCCCGTGAGGGAGAGGAGGTAGTGTCGCCAAGTCGAGGCGTTGTCGCCTAGCCAGTGCCCGACCCGTCGGCCGGATGAGGGGAAGGTGGAGCGGGTTATGATCATTGGGCGGACGCCGGGACGGCGGAGGGACATGGAGGTGTAGGAGGCGGAAGACATCATGGAGCCGTAGAGGTTGTGGACGTCGTAGGAGGTGTAGTTCCCATAGTGGAGGATGGAGGTGAGCATGGTTTTCGAGCTGAGCGCGCCGGCGGCGTTGGGGATGGTGAACGGGGGCGTGACGAGATTGCGGTCGGGCAGGCCGACCTCGTTGCCGATGCTTCGCTTTGTGGGGGAGGTGGTGGTGATCGTGTCGTGGACGCTGAGGTTGGTGCTGCCGCACCCCCCAGTGGTTAAAGTGCGGTTCGTGCGTTCGTATACGTAGCCTTGCGGGCTGGTGCGGACGTATTG